CCAATAGACAACATTATGATAGATGAGGAAAAATTTAAATTGTCAACAATTTCATCTTGTTCATATCCACAATCAACACGCATGGCAGCAGCAATAAAGAAATCAAAAGACATGTTGTATTGGGGAAATCTGCTGTCAAGGATCTCCCCAAAATGCTATAGAGCAAGATGTCATTTTAAAGACTAAGTAAAGTGTGCTTGATCCAGACCATGGTATGTATATTCCAGTGCTTCCTATGTATCTGAAAGTTGGACAATGAATAAGGATGACAGAAAAAGTACTGATGTATCTGAACTGTGGTGCTGGCAGAGAGTACTGAATCTCCCACAGAGTGCCAAAAGAACAAACAAAAAAAGACAGATGTCTTGAAGTGCAACCAGAGTGTTCCTTAGAAGCAACATGGTGAAACTTCATCTCTTTGGACATATTTTCAGGAAGAGTCAGTTCTTAATCAGAGACTCAGGCTGGGAAGGGTAAAGGGTCAGCAAAAGAGAGAAAGATCCTAAACAGGATGAAGTGCCACAGTAACTTCCACAATAGGCTTAAGCAGAAAAGAGATTCTGAGGATGGCACAAGATTGGGCGAGGTTCAGATCTGTTGTTCATAGAGTCACTCTGAATTACAGTCTACTGATGGAAGCTAACCACAGCATGTTTTACAACACAATGACAATTTAATCCATCTGCATTTTAAATGAAGGAACCACAATGTCAGCTAACAAGGAAGCATGAGTGTACACAGGGCAGGAGAGTGTAGGCTGAACTATTAGGGGGTCTCCGTGCTACTACCATCCTTCAGGAAGAGCAGGGTCAGTGAGAGATTGTGTTTATTCCAGTATGTACACAAATACATTCTTACGGGGCCATAAAATGAAAAACGCTGAAAAGCTGGTGTTTGGGCTACAATTCAAGCAGCAGAAGTTTGGGAAAGTTCCTCACCCTCTCCAAGACTGAATTTCTTCATGTATAAGACTGAGCTGATGCTAATATCTACCTCAGAACATAGTCAACTATGTGGAGTAAAACAGACACAGTAAGTGCTCACTAAATGTACACTTCTTGCTCACCACAACACTACCAACAGCACAATTCATAAAGAATGTCAAAATAATTATTGCCACAAGGTTGCTTCAATAAATGGCAATATAATATTAGAGAGTTCCGTCACCATCATTTGTACATCTATTCCGTTGATTACTTTTAATTGCTCCTAAAAATGAAACAAATATTGTAAGTTGTTTATATCTTAATTTCCTACAAAATAAGTATATGCTAAGGCCCAGTTGTCTCTTTTGTAAGTTTTTACGCTATCATTCTGTCTTGGGGAGCTCTGGTGGTGCAGTCCACAGGCAGTAGTGCAGTTAATGCAAAGGCAGTGCTTGTCTCTGGACAGTTTGAAGCCACTAGGCTCTGAGCAAAAGAGCTGCACAATCTCTTCCTGTGCCTTTTATAGCCTTGGAAATTCAAAGAAGGTCCAGCTATGACTAAGCTGGTTCTGACTTGATGACAATGGTTTTTTGGTTTTGTTTTTAAATGCACTTCTTACATTTCCGTTCCTTTAAAATAGGTATTCATAATCACCTCCCAAGAGACTTGTCAGCGTTATAGCGTCTAACCTAAGAATCATGCTCGTTTCTATCCACCTGTGTCTTTCTCTAAATTCCCACCCCTTTAGTGTCTGCCCTAGGTTCAAGAATTTAACATCTTTATCTCCTAAGTCATTTCCCTCCCCTTTATCCTAATCCCTCATTATAGTTCATTATCTATGAGAGAGTGGAGAGGAGCTGGGAAATTTAATGTCATTTCTTTGCTTGGAAACTGCCACCAAGCTATCAATTTAAAAAAAAAAAGTCATGCCACTATTCACAAAGGACAGATTATTTAGAGTCTGATTTGAAAAGACAAAACAAAAATTTTATAGCCTTTACCTTCAATCTAACTGGCATTATGTGTGGTTATTGTTCAAAATGGCTTCCCTATCTATTAACAAACTTTGTCATGTGGATGGGCAGGAATATGCAAACAGGGAATGTTAGCCATCTACAAGAGGATTGGCTACCCTCTTCTATTCACAGGACTAGTAAATTGCCTCATTAAATTGAGCAGATTCAGCTGTGGGGGGGAGGGGGAATGACACAATGAACCTCACCACTAGAAAAGCAGTAGCAAGAAAATGCAACTTGTCCTACAGAACCAGGGATTCTTACACTATTCTACCCATGGGAGCAACCGTCAAGCAGTCACAGGGGAAAACCAGAGACCTGACATGAGACAGAGCAGACCTTGGGACTGCTAGGCCACTGAGCCAGAGCTAAGAGCCTTCTGCCTACATTTGTTGAAGGCTTAGGGGTTGAGGGGAAGAGCAAGGAGCAGAGAGCCATAATTGGCAGGACTAAGCTTTGCAATGGTGGCTAAAAGTCTGAGAAGCATGCAAGCACATCTCAGAAGCTCCTGGCTGTATTCTGCTACTAACCTGAATTTAGTCTTCTGACTTGCCCAATATGGTTCTGTGTGCTCTGTGAGTTAAAGCATCGGATTTGTAAGACTGGTGTTGAAATGAGTAGAGAGATTTGGGGGTTAGTGAACAAGTCTGACCTCATGAGAATTGGTTTTGGGGTGTTTTTCTTGGGGGGAATTGGTTTTGTTTTATGTTGCTTATGGGGACAGTTCTCTGTTGTGAAGCTGGTAAAGGTCAAATGTGGTCCCCATGCTGCCTCACTTTACACTAACCTACTACATGGCTGTTATCCAATTACTAATCTTCCTTCTTTTGTCCTCTGTTTCCATCCCTGGTAACCATCAAATAATGGTTCTTTCTAGTAGTATGTTTTTCCATGACATTTAAATCATAAGGCAGTTTGTATCTTTTTATGTTTGTCTCATTTCTCTCTCACCATATGTCCACCAGGTTCATCCATGTTATGTCATGTTTTTAAATTTCTCCATTTTTCTTTGATGTTGCAGAGTTTGTCTTGTGCATACCACAATTTGTTACTCGGTTTTCTACTGATGGGAACAAGGGTTGTTTCCAGTCCTTTATTATTATAAATAATGCTGTAAATAACATAGGTGTGGATATATCTGTTCGCACAGCTCTTTTACCTTAAAATAACTGTTTTTAGACAATAAAATTAAAAATCTTAATGACAGTAATGAAATTATTTTGTAAACTTTGATGATAATATCGTGGTTATGTTTTTTTAAGTGTTCCATGTTCTAAAAATGTCAAAATAATTGTTAACATATTGATGTAATGTCTGGGATTTACTTCAAAATTACCCATTTGTTATTGGAAGTAAGAGAAGAAACACAATTCACCAATCGAAAGTAAGTGAAGAAACACAATTCATCAACCGTGACTTGACAATATTGAATGATGCACATAAGGTGCCTGAGAGGTGTTCCCTTATACTGTCTCTAATTCTGTGCATGTTCGCAAGTTTACATGCTAACATGTTATTGAGGCAGAGAAAAAAACCTCATCACTTCCAGATGCCTGAATTATCAAGGAATAAAGAAGAACTAGTGGCATGACCTGTACAGAGCTGTGCTGCTAATCCAAGGTAGTGCTTTTCTGAAAATTTGAATCCACTAGCTGCTCTGTGATAGTAGGACAGCCAACCTCCTCCATGTAATCTGAAGCTTCTCTGAGTCAGTTTAGACTCCACACCAATGAGGATGAAAAATCAAGACAAAATTCTTTAACACAACATTCCACTAAATCCTTGATTTATCACCTTGACCTACACTTACATCACTGAAACTAACCTGGTTACATGTTAAAAAAAGCATCATGTCAGGTCCTTTCACCCCCAAGTTCCTGTTCACTGCATTCCTCCTCAGCAAGGCTTCTCTAACCAGTTCTTTCTGTTCAACTGCATCTGCACTAGTGTTTGCAAAATATAGAAACTCCAATACCTTGTCAGAAACTTATATTTCCTTCCTAGGGAAAAAAGGGCACCATGCAAGTTGTATAGCAAATAAAAGGTGCCCAACTTAGAGACAGCAGCAGACTACATGACTGTGGATGCATGCCCCACTCCACAGTCCTGGCAACAACTCAATCTCTCATACCAGTCTCCTGAAAGGGCTCTTCTACACCTCTCTAATCTCCCTTACAAGGCTACCACCCGCAATTTTTCTCATTCCAATTATTGTTCTGAAGCATTAACATTTTGGAAATTCTTGTCAGCTTTGACTTTGTTGTATCAGCCATGACTGAACTAGTTCAAACTCCCTGAAAACCCTACTGCTTAGACCACTGGGTACATTTCTGAGACATAGTCAAAGGGCTCTTGGGTTTCTTCTGTTCTTAGCTCAGACTCACATGTGCGCATGCACACGCGCGCGCGCGCGCACACACACACATATATATTTAGAGGTTTTTTTGATTGTTAGAGTTTATCAGTATTATAACTACCTCCTCAATGATCCCTGGAGGCAACAACAACAAAAATCCATGTTTGAATCAATTTTATTAAATATTCCCTTTAATAATTAAAAAAAGAGTCAATAGAATACTCACTTGTGGCAAACATTAACAAAATAGTATCTACTATATCATAAATTACATATTCCTAAATACATCAATGTTTACTTCCTATATATTTATCATATTCCCTAGAGAAAAAAAATGCTATATTTTGAAGAACATGTTGTACATCTTGCAATGAAAATCACTATCACCTAAAGAAGAAACTATGACCAAAGAGATACAGGAAGTTTATAGTATGTACAAACCAAATCACTCTCACAAGTGAGAGCTTAGATATTGATGCAGTAATCCAGATACGAGGACATTACAGTAAAGGGCTGTAAACCTTAAGAGTAGAGGACTGTAAATTTTTACTTTATGGCAGCAAACAGTTGAAATGGTTCACTTTTCTAAAGCAAAAATAAGTTCAGCCTAACTAAGCAAGCTATTATTAACAGTGCTTTAAAACCTTATGAAATAATTTGTTTCAGAGTTATAGATTATATAAAGATAAGGGAAACACTTACTAGTACAAGACTTCATTTGCTTCATGTCTTTCATATCTCACAGTTTCACACATTAATCTGCAACAGAAATAAAAAATTCAGTATTTACTGTTAAAGAGTGTATACTAGTTTAAAATTTTACATAAGCTTTGTAGCCTGGAATGTCAAGATTACTTTAATTGGCTTGTATTAGTTTTAAGATGTTTTTCATTGCATATGTTGACAAAAATCAAAATTTTTAAAAAACTAAATTTGATAAATACTAATAAAAAAAATATTTAGATGTCACCTTCACCATATTTACTTTATGAGAACTGTGTATATTTCCTACTTTGTAAATTATATGTGGGTAAATTAATCTCAACAAAGAATTAAAAGGAACCTACAACTAATACAAGAAACTTTATTAATTTTAAAAGTGATAACGTCATTCCTAGTCCAACATTAATGTTGTTGAACTGTATGGAATTTCAGACACATGGAGGCTTTTATTAACTCAGCATATTTATGACTAATGACTAAACGAAGCCTTTACAAGTTTCTATATATGTTATTTCAGCTGATTCATCCCTGAGGAAAAAATTAGGGAAAGCATGAATAAATACGTAAATTTCAACATTACCTCAAGAACCATTATCTTTGGAAAGATTAATCCTAAATAAAAGTTTCCAAAGTCAAATGCAAAGCAAAAAATAATACTATCTTCATATGAACAAACCAGTAAACAAAAGATTAACTGTAAAAAGTATTTAAGAGAGCCTCTATTTCACTTTCACCTGTGAAATACAGAATCAAATTCAGAGCTTTGCTTTATTCCTGCTTGTAAATCCTGTAAAACCAAATATTCCTGTTTCATATTCTAACTCAAAAATACTCTCTTCCAACTACCACCATTCTACTTTAGTGACTCTTATTCTCTGAATCGGATATATAAATCTTAGAATAGTCCAACTGAGTGTGTTCAATCCAAAAGGTAATGTTAGAGTGTATAAAAGCAGTAAGCATGCCATTTCCTTTAATAGGCTGAAATGAATAAACTCTTCAGAGTAATTTAATCACATTTTGGGGTATAAAATTAAACCAAAACCAGTAGACATCAGGGTGATTGTGACTCCTGATGACCCATCTGTGTAAAGTGGAACTGGGGCTGGTCTTTCAGAAGCAGACCACCACGAGGCCTGTCATTTCAAACATCTCTGGATGAACTTGAACGTCAACTGGTCCATTAGCAGCCGAGCTTTGTTTCCTGTTGTTGTTGTTGTTGTTGTTGTTATTATGTGTGTCGTTTGCGACTCACAGCGACCCTATGTACAACAGCCCTAAACCCTGCTCTATCCTGTGCCAATCTCATTGCCCCCGACACATCCATCCCGAGTACCCCAGTCACTGAATCAATCCACCTCATAGAGGGTCTTCCCCTCCTGCACTGTCCCTCCACCCTACCAAGCATGATGTCCCTCTCCAAAGACCGGTCTCTCCTTACAACATGTCCAAAGTATGTCAGACGAAGCCCCAGAATCCTTGCCTCCAAGGAGCAGCCTGATTTAACCCTCTCTAGGATGAATCTGTTTGTTTTCTTGGGAGTGCATGGTACATTCAATACTCTTCTCCAGCACCACAGCTGAAATGCATCCTTGTCCACCCTACCCTCTATGTCTAACTTGGTCCTTGGGCTCCCTATCAAAGAAATCCTTCCATTCCTGTGAGCTTTATCCCTTCAACCATATCACCTTACGTATTTCTCTCTCCACTGAAAATACTTCCACCAACATAAACAGTTTAGTAGCACTCCTAGTGGAGAATGGGGCACCTCTCTGGACCTCATATTACCTCCCAGCCATTAGTGATCGTATTTTGCTTTTCCTTTTAGAGTTCTTTATATACTCTTATCATCTTGTAACTTTCCCATTTCTTAAACTCCAGAGAAAAGATTCTAACATTTATCGTGTTCTCTATGGTATCTGTCCTAATAGTCCTGCTTACACAATCGTCTGATCATCCCTTTTCTTCACAGCAGTATCTTCTCCAGGCTTTCCCAAACTCGGGCACCTGGTTTTCTTTTTAACTAATTGTTTCATTCCTTTACCTGATCTGTAAATAGAAATCATCTCCAGGAGTCTCTCTTCAGCACTCCTCCCCCTGGTGCCCACAATAATCTTACCTAGTCAGTGGTGTTAATAGACATTTAAAAAGATGCCTCTCAAGTTAATCCAATTCTTATCTCTCACAAAACAATACCCACAGCTATGTTTTTGTTGACTGCCTTCAAGTGGAGCACAACTCATAGTAACCCAATTAACAAAAGGCCTGAAACCTCTGTACGACTAGCAACATTTATCAAAGGTGATAAGAGTTTCTGTTTCCGGAGGCACGTTGTTTAGGAAGTGGATGCCACTCCTGCTTCCAAACCTGTTGTAGTATGTTACTGTTTTTATGTGTCACCTACGATATATAGTGACCCTATGTACAGCAGCTCTGAACCCTTCCCTGTCCTGAGCCAGTCTCACTAATTCTGACACACCAACCCCCATCGCCCCAGTTACCATATCAATCCATCTCATCCCGGGTCTCCCTTTCCTGTGCTGTCAGTCCACCCTTCTGCACATGATGTCCTTCTCCAAGGACAAATCTCTCCTGGCCACATGCCCAAAGTAAGTGAAGCAGAGCTTCAAAACCCTAGCCTCTAAGGAGAGACTTGGTTTCACCCTAAGAAAGACCTATTTGTTTTCTTGGCAGTCCATGTTAGGTACAAGACTCTTCTCCAGCACCACAACTCAAAGGCACTGATTCTTATTCTGTCATCCTTAGTCTTTGTCCAGCTCTCTGATGCATAACAAGTAACTGGGAAGACCATGGCCTGGATTATGCCCATAGCTATCCCATACTTTAAAATGTCCAAATCAGAACCCAGATTCCTACCCCAAAAACCTGTTCTCCCAAAACTCTGTACCAAATAGTTTAGGCCAGAAGCATTTTGATTTTTTCCTTCATGTTCCATCTCTTTGTGATTATCTGACTCCAAAATGGATTCTTCATAACTGGCCAAGCTCAGCATCCTTAAGTTACTAGGTGCCCTCCTGATCTTCTCATTAACCAACCCCAGGGCCACAATACTAGATTTTCTATTTCTATCACCCATACTCCAGATACCTACTAGAGGCCTTCCCAAATAGTAAATCATGTTATACTTCTGTCTCTAATCTCTACTACATTTAGGAGGGGGAGGAAAAAAAAATCTAAACACTCTGTCCTTCTTTCTTCCAAAGTCATGTACAATGTGACCCTTCTTTCCTCTGTGTCAGATCTGTACTAGAATTTATCTGATGCTCCCCAGATCTTAACCTAGTTGCATCCTTTTAACTTCAAAGTTCATGACTACTCATGCTCAACACACAAACACTTGAATAAAATATTGATCTGTTTCTTTTCTGTCTCACTGACCAGACCCAGACTTGGTGCCACAATTGATCCATTTACATAAGCCCAGTCATCCTCACCAGGAACATAATAAGCTGCATGATGGCAGGAGGGCAGTCGGCTGCACTTCTTTTTTTTTTTTTTTAATTTTTATTTTATTAATTTTAATGAACATATACAGAGATTCTGGATTTCCATTCATTCATTGTTGCACTATTTTCTCTACCTCCCCCCCAGTTCGTTCCTCTTTTTTTTCCCCTTGAAAGTCTGTTTTAATTGTCCCATCGCCCCAGTGTTTGTCAAAACCAGTTCTGATTAATCTCCTTTGTCAGTGTATCCTTTGCCATTCCTTATCACTCCTTCCTGAGAGAGATTTCACCCTGATTCATAAGGAAAAGGGGACGGCGTATTCTCTTAGCTACTTCCTGCTGAAAAGGGACAGTGTGCTGCACTTCTGTACCCACACTGCTGGTATCAACGTGGAGAATATGGCAGGGATACAATGAATGTATGGTTACTGAAGAAATAAATTTAATCACTGTCATTAGATTTTATCATGAAAAAACCTTTAAAAATCCACACCACCGTTTTTCTTTAAATACTACTAGGAAAAACCAAAGTTACTTTCTGAATTCCTAAAAAGAGTATAACTAACTCTAAATTACGTCTTAATGATCAAAAGTCATCTACATTTATACTTGCTCAGTAACAGACATATAGTTGGGCAAGCTTCTGATCCCAATATTAAACTGTCCTGCTCTACTCCTATTAATATAATACTATCCCTTAATAAGTGTGCTACTATCCACATTACCCCAGTCACAATCTATCTCATCCAAGGTCTTCCTCTCCTGCACTATCCCTCCACCTTTCCAAGAATGATGTCCCTCTCCAAGGATTGGTCTCTCCTGGCAACATGCCCAAAGTATGTCAGAGAGAACTTCAAAATCTTTGCCTCCAAGGAGCAGCAAAGCCTGGTTTCACCCTCTCCAGGACAAATTTGCTTGTTCTCTTAGCAGTCTATGGTATGTTCAATATTATTCTCCAGAATCACTCTCTGCTGGTAAAAGTTTTCCTATCTTAAGTATGTAGTTTAATTTATTTCCTGAAGTTAAACAGTTTGTTGTTATATGCTGTTGAGTCGCTTGCAGCTTACAGCGTCCCTGTATACAATAGCTCTGAACCCTGTTCTATTCAGCTTGCTTGGTTCCACAATCAACACTTTTGGTACCAACAGCCAGGAAATCAAAATATTTTGCAGAGAGTGTCTCATCTTACAGCACTATGGTGGTGGTGGTGTTAGATGTCATCAATTCGAGTAAGACTCATAGCAACCCTATGAACAACAAAGCTGAACCCTGCGCTATTCTGTGCCACCCTCATCTTTTTGACACACTTGAGTGCTCTGGTGCTGTCACTGTATCTATCCACTCCCTCTTCTTCACTGATCCTCTGTCTTTCCAAGCATGATGATGTCCCTTTCCAAGGAACAGCTTCGCCTAGCAACATGTCTAAAGTCTGAAAGACAAAGTTTGGTCATCTTTGCTTTCAAGGAGCACTCTGGCTACACTTTCTCTAAGACATATCTGTTTGTTCTTTTGGCAGCCCATGGGATATTCAATACTTTTCTCTACTATTGACATTTATTTTACTTACTCAGT